CTCCTACTCGGTCCTAATATCATCTCTTGGTGCACGAAAAAGCAGACTCGTGTTTCTAGATCATCCACTGAAGCTGAATATCGAGCTATGGCTGCAGGGGTTGCAGAAGCTATGTGGCTTCGATATATCACTGATGCGCTGGGTATTCCTCCGTCCAAACCGAAGTTATACTGTGACAATGAGTCGACTATCTGTGTCACCAAAAATCCGGTTCTTCATGATCGCATGAAGCATGTGGGCACAGACTGTCACTTTGTACGAGATGAGGTTATGGCAGGCACTATGACTCCACATCATGTTTCCTCCTCAGAGCAGCTAGCAGACATTCTTACCAAACCGCTTCCGCCAGTTCCTTTTGAGTACTTATGTTCCAAGCTGCCCCTCGTCTCCGTTGATCAGCTTGCGGGGGGATATTAGAAAGTATAATTAAATTAGGATACTTCTTTCCTTTCCTACTAGGATTATTCTTTCCTTTCCTACTTGAACTTTGATTACTCTTGTATTCCCTATATATAGGGTCATATCTCTCAATATTCAATAAGACAAGTTATTATCAAATTGTTTCAGTTCTAATATGGAACCAAATATAATTGACACATTCTTCAATGTAAGTTGCTTCTTTCCGAGTAACCAGTTTATTCTTTCTATAGTTTATGATCAAAGAATGTAATTGTTTAATAAAAAACAGAAAACAAAAATAATTTTTCTAGACAAGGTAGTATAATCCATGTCAGGGGTACACCATGAAGTATACTCGAAACTGTATCCCAAAGGGATGCATCAGCATTTTTATGATTCACATAGATACAAAATGTCAGTTCAATAAAAAAAATTGTACTGACATTTTGTGTCATTGTAAATCATCACACTAGCATTACACTAGCACAAAATGGTGGTGCATACCTTCGTAGTACAAATTGGGGTATAATTTTTAGGATACATATAGTTTAATTCAATTTTTTTAACATAAAGTTACATATAGTTCTTTTTTCGCTAATAAGAATTTCGTGTTTTTATTCAAAAAAATATGAGTTAAAATACATATATAGTGTCAATCATTACAATATACATTACCAAAAACATTGTAAAATATTCATATTCAGTGTCACGTTACCACATTATAAACTCCTATTTTGAGGCTAAAAACATGGAACTTGTATTTTGATACTTTCTCTATATTTTACTCCTGTTTAGAGTGATTTATTTTTTTACAGACATACTCGCTCCGTTTTGTTAAAGATTTCCTATTTTGACTACTTTTGATATCTTTATTTTTTTAAGTTGACTTTCTAATTATACTCTTAGCATCGAAGAGAAAAGAGACACCAATCACTTCAATAACTTATTATACATCTCCAAAATGGATGGAGTATATTGTAATGACTTTATTTAGATATTTTAGTCATTTTATTCAAAATTAGTGGTGTTTTTTTAAAAGAGAAAGTATTAGAGAGTATCCCACGTCGAAAATGTGAAAAGAAAATATCGGTCTATATGCTCTTGAGTTGAACTATTGGATTCAATTGGATTCAATATTTTAATATGGTTCAGCTCAAGTGTCTTATTGACCAATCCAGTAACCATTTCCCTATCTTAAATTCTATCAGAAAAAAATAAAAGAGGAAGTGTTTTAAAAAACAGAGGAAAGAATATGAAATGACAAAAAGTTAATAAACTTAATCTCTATTCTCTAACGTTCAAATAATTTAAATAACGTAATTAAATGACATTATTATTTATAAAAATTATAAAAAAATGACAGCAATATTTAATACTAAGTTTATACACATTGCAGTGGTAGCTAATCACCAATTTTTACAAATAAATTTTGTAAAAATTTTTTACAAATAAATTAATAATTTAAAATAAATTTTTTCTAAAAAATTCAAAAATGAATACTCCCTCTGTCATTGACTATTTGTCCACTTTTGACTTTTTTCAGTCAAAATTGATAAACTTTGACCCCAAATTAAATAAAAATAATATTAAATATTGATACAAAAATAGTTTTATTCGATTTATTATATGAAAGATTTTAAAAATATTATTTCTACCTAATTAATATACAGTATATATTTCATTTAATTATAAGCCAAAAATTAAAAATAATTGAATGAAAAAATCAAAATTAGACAAATGATGTGAGCACGAGATCCCCCATGTCCGCCTATGGTGCTGCAAACACGAACTCCTAGTTGTTATATACTCCGTACACGAACTCCTAGTTGTTAAATGAGTCACTCCTAGAGGTGATCATCTCAATCCCCGTCGTCATAGCAACATACTATTGGCTAGGCCCCTCTTGTGCCGGCGATGGCCTCGAACAGGCCGGGTTTCTTTGTAATGGGATTTCTCATGTTCGTCATTGGCTCCTTTGCCTTGTCCTCCAAGTGGAAGGACGCTTTCTCCATCTACCTCGTGTTCAAGTTCCCTCTGTTGCTAATCGTGCTTGGCTCCATCATCTTCTTCTCCGTCGTCGCGAGGCACTCGCCGCCGCCGCACAACCACCGCGCTAATGAGGAATACCGCCTTGACCACTTCTCGTCATGGTACCGCCGATGGCTGTGCGACTTCAACCGCTGGAATGAGGCCGTGGCTTGTCTCGCTCCCTCTGCTGGGTGTGCTCGCTTGGACCATACTTACAACTCATCTCAACAACTCTTCACTGCACACCTCACTCCCCTCCAGGTATGTTTTCTTGATTATTAACTCTCTTAATTGAGCCAACTGTTGCATGTGTTGACCACTTTTGACCTTTTTCGACACAAATTTTGACCACACAGTATGGGTGTTGTATTTACCACTTTTACCCCTTACTTTTTCATACCCTACCTATCACATCATACTTTTTCTCTAATAATTTATCCATCACATCTTTCTTTTACCCATCACATCAGGGGGCGAAATTGGAAATCAATTACTCCCTCCGTCCGCCTAAGATGTTCTCATTTTGATTTTTGATGGTTTTTAAGGAGAGTTGAAAAAAGGTGAAAGTTTACCATAATACCGTTAATGAAAAATGGGTGGAGTGTATTAAATGAGGTGGATGAGGTGTAATAAATAAAGTAAGTGAGGGTAGTTGTGGTATTTTACTTGTTAAAAAATGAAATGAGAAGATCTATTGTGGACAAAGAAAAAGGGCTATTGGGAAGATCTATGGTGGACAGAGGGAGTATAATTTAACACTTTCTTATTTTTGCCCCCAAATCAAATGGGAAGGGTTTTTTCCAAACGGAGGGAGTATAAAATTTTGACATTATATCCCACTTATATTTTCGCTCAAACACTTCTGCATTGAAGTAAATACGTCTTATCACTATTTTATTGAATGAAACATGTTTTAAGTATACATTATGTTTCGTTTATATATTTTTCTTTAATTTTTAGTTAAAGTACTTTACGTATATTTTCGTTTGGTATCATATTTTTTCTTTCATGTACTCTTTTTAATTAGTATAGCTTATATTTGTGTTTCAATAAAACCCAAACATAAAACAAATCAATATTTTTTAAAAGAAAGAATTTTAATTGAGTAGAAACAGGTAAATACTCTATCCGTCCTTGAGTATTTAACCACTTTTGATTTTTCCAGTCAAAATTGGTAATCTTTGATCTCAAACTAAATAAAAATGGTGTTAGATATTGATACAAAAATAGTTTTATTATATCAAATATTTCAAAAAATTATTTTATTTAATTAATATAAAATATATATTTTATTTAATTATAAGTCAACAATTGACCGAAAAAGCCAAAACTAGACAAATCGTCAAGGACGGAGCTAGTATTAAATAAAAAAATAAAAGATTAATGATAATACCGGTGTGAAGTGAGTGAGATTGAGAGTAAAGTTGGGGTCGATGTCGCGCTGCGAATCTGTGATACCCAAAACAAGTACAAAAGTTCATTGGGAGTTTCTTTGGTGCCTTTGTAAATGAGAGGGTATCCATGCCCTTCCATTTATTAGATGACATTTGTACTTCAAATAACAACTAATAGTATAAAAATTTAATTAATAAGATTCCATTAATTGTTAAAAATTGTTAAATAACCCCAATTTCTCGGGAAGTTTGCGCCCACTTTTGTTTAATTGATTTGCAATACTATTACTCCGTATTACCGAGTAATTATTATTTTATCAACTATTTCTCTTTTTTAAATATTTTATAGATAATTATTAGCATTATTTTATTCAATAATTATTTTATTAATTACTCCCTCCGTCCCAAAAAGATTTACACCTTTCAAAAAAATTGCGTCCCGCAATCTTCTATCCATTTCTATTAAAAAACCACTTTTACCCCTTACTTTTTCAAACCCTACATATCACATCATATCTTTTTCCTAATAATCTACACATCAGATCATACTTTTACCCATCACATCAAGGGTATTTTTGGAAAGTCAACGCAAAATTATCCCTCCTTTGATTTCAACTTTAGTCAAAACGTGTAAATCTTTTTGGGACGGAGGTAGTATTATTTACTCACCATTTACTTTAACCAAATAATTGTTATTTAATTTTCTCAATCTCATCATTCTATGATTTTTTTATTAATTAATTAATTTTCATTGAAATACCAGAAAAAATTGAAAAAAACTAGAGAGAGTTAAGATAAAAAAAAGATTTGGAAAAATTTGAAAATGATAAAAGATGGGTAAGAATATGGACAAATTGGAAAAAGTTGAAAAAGGTTCGAAAAAAATAAAAAAATGTTGAAATAAATATTACTCCCTTCGTCTACAAATTAAATTTCTCTTTCAAACAATGTGCAAAATCTTATGTGATTAAAAATATTTTATTAATAAATTGGTAAGAAAACAAAAAGTAAAAATTACATATTTTAAAGTATATCAAAATTTTATATGAATATTTTATTTTATCTAATTATCAGTGAAAATATTTTTTTATAAGTTTTGAAAATATTTCAATTTAATACTCCCTTCGTCCCCGAGTATTTGTTCACTTTTGACTTTTTGGTCAAAATTAATAAATTTCAACCTCAAATTAAAAAAAAAGTGATATAAATTATTTGATACAAAAAAGGTTTTATTAGATTTATTATATAGAATATGTCTAAAATATTATTTTATCTAACTAATATACAATATATATTTTATTTCATTATAAGTCAAAGACTGGAAATTATTGAATCAAAAAGTAAAAACTCGAGAAAACACTCAGAGACGGTGATGGTATTATTTTATTCACATTGATGATGATGATGATACTAATAACAAATACAAGAGGAATTTACGCAAATAAGACTGAAACATAATTACTTTCTCAATATAGAACCACATGTTTTTATTTTTCAATGTAGGACCATTGGTCATCATCTATTAGTCATTATTCAAGTAAATGTCCACCATCAGTGGACATTATTCTTTCCAATAGACATAATTAAGTACTATTTAGAAAATAAAAAAGTTTAAGTCCTACGTTAAGAAATAACCTATGTTTTAGTATTATTTAGTGCAAATTTCACCATTATATTGACAATATGAAGAATACACCAAAGTAAAACATTTAGGTGATTATTGAAAAAATAAAAGAATTTAGAAGAAACTGTTATTAGTTAAAAGAAACCAAAAAAGATTGGAGGATATTATAAGAATTTAGAAAATATAAAAAGTCAAGAGTCGTCAGGCCATGTACTCTTGAAGTATTTCGTATTACTTATTCATATTTCTTATTAGAACCAGATTAAATCAGACCAGATCAGAAATAATTTTAAGTATGAGTACATTCAGATCAGATCAAAACTTATTTTAATCAAATCACAATTAATGAGATCTACTGAAGAGAATATGGCCTTTGAGCTCAATGGAAAATAACCTAATTATAAATGACAGAGTAAATAAGAGAAATAAATAAACAAAATAATAATAACAAAAACAATAATAATACGTGCTAATAGTAATAATAATAAAACTAAAAAATATCAATAATAATAATAATAATAATATAATAATAATTAAAATAATACACCATATAATAATAATAACAATAAGATAAATAATAATAGTTATAAAAATATCACCGTCCTTGAGTGTTTTGTCGGGTTTTGACTTTTTTCATTCAATAATTTTTAGTCTTTGACTTTTAATTAAATAAAATATATATTGTATACTCCGTATTAATTAGATAAAATAATATTTTAGACATATTTTATATAATAAATCAAATAGAACCTTTTTTGTATCAAATAATTAATATCACTTTTATTATATTTGATGACACCTAACAATCTAAAAGTTTGATTAATAAGTTGGATTAATTTGTAGACGAAGGGAGTAATATTTATTTCAACATTTTTTTATTTTTTCGAACATTTTTCAACCTTTTCCAATTTGTCCATATTCTTACCCATCTTTTATCATTTTCAAATTTTTCCCAAATCTTTTTTATCTTAATTCTCTCTAGTTTTTTTCAATTCTTTCTGGTATTTCAATGAAAAGTAATTAATTAATAAAAAAAATCATAGAATGATGAGATTGAGAAAATTAAATAACAATTATTTGTTTAAAGTAAATGGTGAGTAAATTAATAAAATAATTATTGAATAAAATAATGCTAATAATTAACTATAAAATGTTTAAAAAAGAGAAATAGTTGACAATGACTATCAAGAAAAGCCCTAAAATTCTAGAGAAGATAATTTCTAATAGTCTTATATCTAACAATGACTATCAAGAATAGTAAAGGTCAAACATTATCATTTGTTGGATTATTTTCAACCAAGATAAGTGAATGTCAAACATTATCATAATGGAAACTCTTGCAACCATGACAAAAATAATGTATACCTTAAGTCTTTCTAAAAATTTTGTATTAAAACAAAATTTGTTTAGTACACATTCAATTTTTCAAATATAATTATTTCTACTTTCGCATTTTTGTCGATAGTATTAAAAATCATTAGAGAAATATATATTTTTTACTCTAGATAATTATTGCATTGAAAAAAGTTTCAGAATCAACAAAAAATTCGTTCGACCCCGTGCGTCGCATGGGTAAAAGTACTAGTGTATGTGTGTGTGTGTGTGTGTGTGTGTATATATATATATATATGGGATTGACTCCAGTCAGATGACAGCTTACGATGAGATGACATGCTACAATCAGATGGCGCAAAGCTCACCACTGGCCATTGCAAAGCTCACCAAGGAAAACTACAAAGCTCACCAAACTGTAAGACAAAAGTCACCATATTTTTTCAACACTTTGAATTTTTTTGAAAAAAAATCAAATGAAGTGGTGCTGACTAGACTTTGACCATTACCGGCGACCCCCGCCACCGTCGGCCGCCGCCTACCACCGCCGGCTGCCGCCTCCACCGACCTCCGCCGCCGGCGACCACCGCCGCGGACCTCCGACGACCACCGCCGCCGACCTCCGGCAACCTCCGCCGCCGGTTTCCGCAGCGCCGCCACTGCTGACCGGTGGTTGACGGGTGTTACTATTTTATTTTTTATTAATTTTTTAATTTTCAAAATTAAAAAAAAGGTGAGTTTTGGTGTTTAAAGTGGTGAGCTTTGTTTTATTTCCTGGTGAGCTTTACATTGACTATTGGTGAGCTTTGCAGTATAATGTGGTGAGCTTTGCGTCATCTCACCAAAGCATGTCATCTCACCGTAAGGTGTCATCTCACTGGAGTCAATCCATATATATATATATATATATATATATATATATATATATATATATATATATATATATATATATATATATATATATATATATATATATATATATATATATACACACACGAATAATGCATAATTAAAATATACAGTGAGCTTTTTGAGACTTAAATTTATATATACCGTGCAACACACAATCAGATGTGTGTTTTTTAGTCTATAATTTGTACCGTCTTGATTAAAAATACTTTTTGATTCCAATAATGTAATTCTTTTAAAGGAGTGAAGACTGAAGAAGGAAACCTAAGGACAACATCAACACTAGAATTATCACATACTAGTATTCTGACGTGTGCCATGCATGAGGTCGAAAGAAATTGATATCGTTTTGAATTATTTCAATAAAATTTATTTTTCAGAATAAAGAAAATATATTGCTCACATGATTTTTAATACTACAAATGAAAAAAGCCAAAGTAAAATAAATAATATTTGAGGAACAAAATGTAGAGTTAACAATGTTTATTTTAATACCAAATTTTCTTAAAGACTTTAGAGTATACAACATTTTTGGTATGGTTCCAAGGGTTTCCATTGTCATCTAGAACTAATATTTTTAATCCTGTCTTTATCTTCACTCGTGAAACAGCAAAATATAGTTGACCATGCGTGAACACTGACTTGGTTAAAAATAACCCCACAAATGACAATGTTTGACCTTGACATTTGTTGATAATCATAGCAAAACATCAGGCGATCGGGAATTGTCTTCTTTGGAACTTCAAGGGTAGCCCTAGATCAGATGGTACCAAATTCATTCTAGGGATGTAAACTTATTCCATGACTTGATTTTCCGAAACCACAATTGCACTGATAACATTATTTCACAGCTCTTGAACGATTAATTTTGTCCCATTACACAATCTAGATGTTTGGTCAATGTTTCTCAATTGCATAATATGTACCCCTTTTTCAGGACTATTTTGTGCTTTGGGATTTCCGAACATTTGATTTCGTTCAAAAACTCAACTGTTATCCAACAACCATCAACACCTACATCTGCTTCTTTTTGGCACGAAGAATCAGAACTCAAGTATTCTCTTTCATCACCAAGAATGAGGGACAAAACAAATTCATTTATCATTTCAACTACTTCGAGAGTTGGTGCCAATAGTGCTCTATCCTCAAAAAAAGAACAATTTTTCATATTCTCAAATATAAGTCATTTTTCAATATAAGACTTAAACTTTTTCAAATTTTTCATTTTTCATTTTTCAAATTTTTCATTTTTCATTTTTCAAAATTTTCATTTTTCATTTTCCAAACTTTTTCCCAATATAATTTTTCAAGTTTTTCATTTTCCATATCTGCACTAAATCGCACTAAAACAAAAGTCATTTCTCAATATAAGACTTAAACTTTTTATCCATTAAATAACACTTAATAATGTCTAGAAGGAGAAATAATATCCAGAGACGGTAAACATTTATCTAAATAATGACTAATAGATAATGACTATAAGTATATTTTCCAATTTAAAAATTATATTTGAACTTTGAATTATTTACATTGATCATTCCGAATCAAAGCCTAAATTTTTTTTCCTCACATGCATATCATTTTATTTTAAAATATGTACTCACATTTTTTATATTCACCCATTTCATATCAAATTTATTGCAAATTTTTTATTTTTTTTAATTTTTTTAAAATATGAATGTATTTTTACTCAACTTTGTTAATATTCGTCCATTTAATTGTTTAAAATATTCAATATGTATAAACTATTTTTTCATAAAAAATATAGGAAAATGAAATTAAAGAGTCATGGTTAGACATCATTTTATTCCTATTGATGTAAATATAAAATTGATAAAAAAATATTCAGTGACCTATATGCATACCTAGATAAATTAACAATTATACATTTTAATCATCCATGATTTCTATGAAACCTATGAACGACGTTTAATTTTTTTACGGATGCAGATTATAATTGATAAAATAACATGACTATAATTAAAAAAAGTACACATATTTTTATCTTTTCTTAGAGTGTTCATTTTCACATGGAGAACTTGTTAAATCTTTCTAAAATTGACATCTAATTTTAAATTTTGTATAAAACTTTATTTATTTAACATAAATTCATTTATCAATACTAACGATTTAGATATGAAGATAAGAAAATTTTTCAATGCTCATTAAAAAGCAACAATATAAATTTTAAATACAAAAATTCTGGTCACTGAAATATCTCGTTTGATTTTGTTATTTTAAAAAATTCAAAAATGTTATGTATCAAAATTACCTTAAAACAATAAAACAAAATTAAATATATTAAGATAAAATAATATTTAAAGTACGTACCTTTTCTATCCTTTTTTTGTTGAAATATTCCTTTTCTCCTTTATCTTGCATCTCTAGTTGATCTCGTCCATGTTTCGTCAAATTGATTTTCCATAGCCCCAATTAAATTTGAAAAATAGGATGCTACTATCACCAATCCTTTTAAAAACAAAAGGCTGAAGTTGAATTAATGAATCTCCGCATATTTATTGCATAATTAATTCTGAATGCCTATGTATTGAAATGGAAAATGAAAATGGGTGGTGGATGTCACATTTCAACTCATTATATATCTATTTTTATAATAGGATTTTGAATCAAGTATATATAAGAGTTTCCATAAATTTAGATATAAAAGTGAGCAATTTAACTAATTGTCAGTTAGATATATAAGTAAGGAATTTAAAATAATATTGGATCCATCCTAGATATAACGAAATCCTAACTAAAAATAAACGAATTCAGAATAATATTATTGATTATCCAAGATACATAATTAACGATTTCCATATATAAGTAAATAAATCGAAAATAATATTAGTATTATCCAAGATACATAATATAAGTAAGGTAATGAATAATATACTCGTGATCATAATTTTCAAATTTAGTACTATTTAGGACTGTTTCTTAATAATATTTTCAGTAAATTTTGTTAATTACCATATATAAGTAAGGTGATCAATAATATATACTCATGGAAGTAAGACAAATAAGTAAGGAATCAAAAATAGTATTGGAATTTCTATTAGTATAGGTACTCTATTGATTTCAACCTATATATACATGAATTTCCATTAATAAATCTTTGTTACTTATTAATTTAAGTATGAAATTTATAAATATGGAAGTAAGATAAATGATTAATATATGTAGCATGGTTCTAAAATTCTATTTAAGTTAAATGAAAATTATTATAGTTCTTTTTTAATTTTTAAATAGTATTTATATTTTTTCATATTCATTTTAAATTGTTTATATTATCCTCGAAATAGGAGTTCGTATTGTTGTAATCTGAAAACATATATTAACATATAATACAGGGCCGGCCCAATAGGGGGACAAAGTGTCCGTCCGGGCGGGGCCCAATAATTTTAGGGGCACATTTTTTATGTAATACTGCGTATATATATATAAGTATATAAGAAGCCCACTGGCCCAGTCCAGCCCCTCACCCCCCTTAAGGCTTAGCCCAGCCCACCCCTTACCTTGTAGACAAAAAAAAAACTGAAAAGAAAAGTTAGAAATTAGAGACTGCCGAACGAAGAAGAGGCGAAGAGTCCATTGCCGATAACCGAAGAAAGGACGCCGCCGACCGCCGTCCCACCGCCGGACGCCGACCTCCACCCTCCAGGTATTCCATATTCAATTATTCATAGCTTTCCAATTTTGTAATTTTTATTTCTTAAATCTTAATTTTACTTCATTGTTTCATTTTTTATATTTAAAATCTAGGGTTAATTATTAGTTTTTAATTTGAAATATTTTCTAATTTCATTCTTTGTAATAGAATGAATTGATGGTTCTATATGTTATTTATTTGATTTGGATGAATTGATTTGAATTTTTTATTAATGATATATTTATATTAAAAAATCTGAAATCTGAAAAAAAATTAAAAATCGATAAATTGATGAATTGATATAAATTTATGATTTATAAAAAAAATTAAACTGAAAAAGAAAAAAAACAATTAAAAAAAGAAAAATTGATGAACTGATATTTATTTATGATATATTTATTTATTTGCTTGTTTTTTCAATTTTTCATACTTGATTTTACTAAGTAGTAGAATTTATGAATTTAGATTTTATTTCAGAAATAATTCTATAGTTATGGCTCCTAAACAATTATCTGGTAGTCAAAAAAGAAAAAATGTGTAGAGAGAAGTTTTTCCAAATTGAAGCTTCTGAAATCTTACTTACGATCTACAATGTCCCAAGAAAGACTTAGCGGATTAGCGGTAATAGCTATCGAGAATGAAATGTTAGAGAGTATAGACTGTGAAGATGTGATCAACCAATTTGTTCTCAAGAATGCAAGAAAAACTTCTCGAATCCTCGGCTAGCTTCTACGATGTGTAATTATAATACTATAATTTTGTCATTTTCTCCTAATAATATTGCGTTAATTATCATTTAAATATAATTAGTTTAATATTTAATTTGTTAGATCATTACGGATAATATTTTTTGGGCCTTTTTTCTATTTCGGCCCAGGCATATGAATTCTCAGGACCGGCCCTGATATAATATTATTGATTATTCAAGACACATAATTAAGGATTTCCATATATAAGTAAACGGATCCAAAATAATATTAGTATTATCCAACATACATAATATAAGTAATGTGATGAGTAATATACTCGTTATCATCATTTTCAAATTTAGTATTGTTTAGGATTGTTTCTTAATAATCTTTTTGTAAAAAATAATATTCTAATTTCCATTAATATAGGTACTCTACTGATTTTAACTCTTATTATACACGATTTTTCACAATAAACATTTGTAACTTATTAATTTAAGTATGTTTTTAAATATGAAAGTAAGATAAATGATTAATATATGTAGCATGGTCCTATAATTTTGTTTAAATTAAATGAAAAATATTATATTTATTTTTTAAATAGTACTTATATTTTTTCAGATTTATTTTTATTTATTTTATATTATCATCATAATAGGAGTTCGTATTGTTGTAATCTGAAGGAAAGAATTTCGTTGAAGGCCCTGTGATTATCGTGTAGAAAATCTACGGTTAGTTGTTTTCAATGGGAGATCCGCTGGTGCATCGTATATAATTTATTTCCGCTAGTTTACTCAGATATTACGTGGCATGCTAACATGTTTAAATTTTGCCACATAGACATGCCAAATGTTGAATTTCTGTGCATCCGAGTCTCCTTTATTATATTAAAGGATATGATCTTACAAATTTATTAATTTTGCAACTCCTAGAACTTTTCTTTGAAGAGATTAAGATGAGACTTATCTGGGTCATGGATTTCCAAGAGAAAGAGGTCGACGTTGAAGACGTGGCCTTGCATGGTGAGGGGGTCTGCGGGCAGGAATAAGAGCAACGCAACAAATCATCATTGCCCACGTATACCCGAAAGGGGGCCACCGGGTGGAGGACCAAAGTCATATGCTCTACCACTGCCGGGAGAATAAAATTGTGCGTGCTACTGCCATCCAAGAGCACCTGAACTGGCGCGCCGTGTACGGAACCCATCAATTTCAATGAGCGAGGGCCAGGACTCCCCGCTAAGGAATGCATACTAGAGAAGTCCGCGGTGATGAGTTCCTCGTCACATGTGCTGCTGGTCTGTTCGCTAGACTCCCCATGGGCCTCATCTTCATCTGGGCCCATAAAGACGAGGAACGATGTTTGCAATGGTGCCCTGGAATCCAACGCTCATCACAATACCAACATGACCCTTCTTAGAAGGCTCCGCTTTCTCTGACGTGGTAATGCGAACAATAGCTAGTTGGGAGGGTGCAGTGGGTGACTATCCGAGGAGCGAAATACTTGGTGGGGAGGCCGATTTGGTAGTGGCAGGGAAGGCGTACCTCCTGTGGCCGTTGCATTGGATGAACGAGAGGGCCAGACCCGACGTGACAAACCAAAAGAGTTGGCCTCCTGATGACATGCCGACAATTCTCTAGCCAAAGCAAACGTAGATTGCAATGTGGTTGGGCTCTTCAATTTAACTTCGCGTTGAATCGGCTACTTGAGACCTGCTATATATATGGCAATAAGTGTGGTTTCCGGAACCCCTGAGACTTTATTGAGAAGCGTCTCGAACGCCGATTTATAATCCATAACGGTTGAAGTCTGCTGCAATTTGGAGAGGAGCCCAATATAATTCTCATAATAATCGGGGTCGAAACGCTGCTGGACCGCCGTTAAAAAGGCCGGTCATGAAACTTCACAATTGTTGGCTTGATAATACCGGAACCATTCTGACGCTGGGTGATCAATCAACATGGCGACAAGATGAAACCGCTCATCCTCCAGGGTAGGAAAATAATCAAAATATTTTTGAACACGGAAAAGCCAACCTGTAGGATCTTCCCTTGAGAACCGTGGAGCGTCCACCCGCATGCAAGGCACCGGGTCGAAACTAGGATTAGGTTGAGGCATGCGTAACGGTGGAGGACGCCAGCCCATAGCGGGAGGGCGCTGATAGGCCCCAGAGGGGACATCCGGCGCAATCTCACTAAGCCGACACGCCATGGCAGCTTGCTGCGTCCGTGTAGCCTGCAACTCGTTCCCAAGATTGGTAATTGCATGTATGAAATCTTCAAGCTTAAGAGTCGGGGTGTTCACATCCGACGAAGGTAGAGACGTCAACATTGAGAACAGCAATAAAAGCACCAATGATACCAGACTTCGAACCCTATGGTCATCAAGTAGGTGGCCCACGCAAGGAGAGGCACGGCTGGTGAGGGATTAGGGTTTTAAGAAGGAGAGAGAGAGAGAGAGTTCAAGGGGAAAATCATCTCTTAATAATAATCAAAGGTTCAAAGTTTGGTGAGAGATCCCCGACCTAATAAACTACGTTGTCTAACTTGTCGGTTCAAGAAAAGCGTCAAGGGAAAGGACCGAAATGAAAACCCTTGAAGGGGCTTATATTTTGCCTGCGTAACAAAATCTAAATACAAGAAATGATTTAATGAATAAAGAAACAACAACAATGTTAAACATAGTCATCATAACGTTTAGGTCGTCAAGCATTACGACGTGGATGAGTTACTGTCGTAGTTCCCTCGGTGGACTCCTGATCCTCCTCATGCTCCACGAACGTGTCCGTATCAGAGGGGAAGAAGTTCTCTTACACAGTTTTCAAGACCGAGAAAGAGTAGCTCTTCTCCGTGAAGGAGAAGAAATAATAACTGGGAAAGACTTAAGGTTTCATGAAATGTGGTGCTGGAACTCCTTTATTTATTTACTACTCCGTACTATTTTAACCCATGCCACACACGGGGTCGAATAAAATTTTTGTCGATTATGAAAAAATTTCTTCAGCTTTTTAAGATTATGTTCTTTGAAATTCTAACCCATGCCACACCCAACACTCCTTTTTTTATGCGCATACCAAAATTTTCTTTAAAAGAAGTAAGTATATGTGAAATAAACTTACAAGAGTAAGTATGATGTGAAATTTACTATAAAAAGTTTAAAATTTCACATGGGCATTGTTTTAGTAAAAAAAATTAAGTATGATGTGAAATCTATACATATTTAGTAGTTCATTGTGTTAATCTATAAAAATTTTTTAATTTTTTTAGCATAATAAAATTAAATAATTTCGATTGAAATTCATTTGTTGAAATAAATTTAATTAATTTTTTTTTATTAATGAAGTACAATTTTATTGTCAAACCCATAAAAAATGTAGTACAATTCTATTTTTCATCAATTTGTAAATTAATAATCCCTCCGTCCACAAATAAACTTCTCGTTGTGCGTTACGATATTTGATTGAAGTTATTTTCAAATCATTTTATATGAAAAATGGTGAAAAATTTAAAAATAAAAATTACATATTAAAAAACTACTCCCTCCGTCCCGGAGTATTCGTCCAATTTTGATTTTTGGAACTGTTCATCTAAGCACTTTGACTCATCAAATTCTCTCAATGTGTATGCCTAAATATAGTATGTGTAATTTTGTTTGATTTGTCTTAACATATAGATTATTAATAAATAATTTCTATAATTTTTTAATATACAAATTACAAGATAAAATAGATTAAAGAAGTGTATTGGATGATGTGTAAAAATGAAAGTTGACAAATACTCTGGGATGAAGGTAGTATATCAAAAGATCTACAAAACTAGAGGTGACATGACTATATTATTTTACCAAATGAGTGACAAAAATATGCCAACAAAGTGAATAAAGTTTTACCCTGTGACTAGTGAACGAAAAGTTTATTTTTGAACGAAGAGAGTATAATTGTACATAGTATAAATGTTTAATAAATAATCATATAAGTAAAATAATGAATAGTATTCTAGTAGTCTTTTTAATGCAAGAGATAAGGAGTAAATGAAGAAGTTGTATATTGGGCTTAGAAAATCTGACATGGAGGAGAGGAGAGGTACTCCTTTCTTTACTCGGTCCAAAAAAAGATGGAATCGTCCAACCCAAACGCCCCACCCCCTGGCCGAGTCCTTCCTTTACTCGACCACCCAATGTGTATGCTCAGACAGTTAGGAGTGTAAACGAATCGAATCGAAACGAATACCAATATATTTGAATTTGTATTTGTTTAATTTTTTCGAATACGAATCCGAATCCGAATATGAGACGAATTCAAAATAAGATTTGAATAAGTATTTGATTAATATTCGAATAGTTATCGAATCATAAACGAATATTTGAATAATCATACTATGTAATTTATATGCTGGACCAACATCAATTTGTAATTTAACTTACGATATTCTTTATATTATACTATATTCCATATATAAAAATATTAATACATTTGCATCTTACACAAATTATATTTTATAAAATATAACTATTAAAATCATATGCTTTAGATTTTCGTGTTACGTTAATTTATTGAATTCTTAATATTTTAAATACACTTTATACTATACTATTTTGCTTGACTTTTGATGTTGAAAACATAGTCTGTGTATATATACATATATTCGAATATTCGAATATCATCCGAATCGAATATATCCATATTTGTATTTGTATTTGGTTAATATTCGAATCAAAAATAATATTTGAATTTGAATTTGTATTTGAATAATGCGAATTCGAATCATCATATTCGAATACGAATCGCGAATCGAATTTAAAATATTTGATTTGTTTACATCCCTATGCTCAGTGCTCTTGGTTTTAGATTCACCTAGATTTTGCCCCCCAAAAAATGTTAGGTGAAGCTGGCAGCAAAGAGAAAAATGGAGTAAACTGTAAAAGGAATATAAAAGCAAAGAAAAAAAGGGAAAAAAGGACAAACACCACACAGTCAAGATTCCTTGCTTGCATCCGTCTTTTCTAGGAAATAGTCCTTATTGAGCAGCAACACAACTCCGTCCTTGATTGCGTCATTCGCTTCAACGAATTTTAGATTCTATATTTGAAATTTGAGTGGTTAAAAAATTAATTAAAATAAATTGGATGAAATTGGAAGAAGTCAAAAAAATTTGATATAGTTAGAAAAATTAAAATGTTAAAAGTCACTCAATTAAATGAATATTCAAATCAATATGCAAGAAAATTATAACTTTGGATATTAAAAAATTCATCATTCTCCGTGTTCGAGGTGGCAAAGACCTAGCAAAATAGATCTGAATCTGATTGAGCTCGAACCGATTACACCCAAACTGATTAAACCCAAACCGGTTATACCCGAAATCGATTAGATCCAAAACCGATTATGCCCAAAACCGATTAGACTCAATATTGATTAAATCCAAAATAAATTAAACTCAAATCCAATCAACACAAATAACTCATTTATTGTGTCTTTTACAGAAAAACATATTTAAATTATAGGTATAACCAATTTCATGCACAAATTCTTTATTCTGTATTTTACGGAGTATCACTTAAAGTAAGGTGATTGTCTATTTTTATACAAAGTATATATATAATTTATAGTAACATCTTAACACAAATTGATGGATATACTAACTCATTATTGTTTACACGTGTATATATACCCCCCCTATACACAGGGAGAAGATGCTACACACAATTCTAACATTTGGAATTCTAATACCAAGGGATCGCATATGAAATTGGTATAGACCTGAACTAGTAAAAACCCAAACTCATATAAACTCGAACCGATATAAACCCGAAGCGATATAAATCCGAGCTGAAATAAACTTGAACCAAAACCAAGCCGAAATCGGGGGAAAATCAAACCGAATTAAACCTGGAATCGAACTGAACTCAACTGTACCGACCCGAACTGATTATAACATATTTCAGAAAAAGACCCGAAGCAGAACCGAATCGATTGAACTGATTGCCAGGTCTATGTGACATGTTATAAATTTAGATATATAATATTATTATATGTTCATCATATATAAATTCCTTTTAGGTTATTGTTGAAATAAACTGTGAAAAGTTACAAGATCTTAAAAAATTTAGAAGAAACTAGAAGATGTGAAAAGTTCGGAAGTTAAACCCAAAAGAATAGGGCCCACAAACTTTTGTTTCACCTAGTGTGAACTTGAATTGGATTGTAAATTTAGATAGGATTCAAATTATATACTCCGGTCAATAAAAATCTATTTAGACATACAAAATTTAAGGGGAAAGATATTTTTATTTCAGCTTTTCAAAACTTTTTTTGATGTGATAAATAAAATATAATTGTATATACCAACGTGTTATATGTCTTAGGCCCTGTTAGAGATTAGCTTTAGTTTTTTAGAAAAGCTATCTGACAGTAGTTTTTAACATTAGTGTTTTCAGAATTAATTCACATCATTAAAATTTTATCAAAAATACTAATGCTAATTGAAAACGTTGTTCCCAAACAGGGGCTTAATTGTATATTCCAAACGTTTTCTACTTCCATGAAATTAGAATTAAAGACTTCAATTTCAATTTTTAATTTGATAGCACAAAAAAATGTGGATTTGGAATTGAATTCTAATTGCACAACATTTTGAATTTCACAGCACAAGAAAAGAATTTGAAATCCAAAATTTGAATTTAACCGGTCAAATTGATATTACCTAGATCCGTTTCATGTCATAATAAAGAAACTTGCCTTAAAAACTTTAGGTGTGTTTGGAAAATAGCTTTTGGGTGGTGTTTTGACTTCGACTTCTTTAACTAATCAAAGAAGCCGAATAAAAAATTAAAAATTCAAAATTTAGAATTCAAGAATAAAAATTTATAAATTTAAGTATAAAAATATAAAATTTAGATTTTGAAATTAAAATTGAAAATAAAAACTCAAGAATTTAAAATTTAAAAACAAAAAATTAAAAAATTCAAAATTCAACATTTAAAAATTAAATGCTAAAAATATAAAAACTAATAATTAAAAAATAAAAAAAGAAATTAAAAACTAAAAACTAAAAGATTAAAGTTCAAAAATATAAGCTTTAAATGAAAATTCAAATAAAAATATATATTTAGATCTTAAAATTTAAATTCTAAATGGTGTTTGACATATTTAATGTATGTGTAAATAAAATAAAAACAATGGGGTTTGACATATTTAATGTATGTTACACATTAAGAAATAATAGTTGTAATACATTTGTGCAATTGAATACTTGAAATTAAATGAATAAAATCAATTTTTTTAAAAAAAAGTAAAAATAACTTTTCTTCGGTCCGCTCCTAATTCGGTCCCGTCGCGTCTTTGCCTTATTCGAGTTGTGTTCTTTTCACCTGATCTGATTGGAATAAGTTCTGATCTGATCTGAATGTAGTTAAATCTAAAGCTATTTTTGGTAAGATTTGACTCCAATAAAAATAAGTAATGAGTATAAAATAAGTTGGGGAGAACATGACCTCGGTCCATGCATTGGCTCTTATTCGGTCCCGGTCAAGGTTTGGACCGATGCACACCCCTATTTGAAATTATAATAGAGTTCTATATCAACTTCTTAATTATACCAAACAAAGATTTAGAATTAAATTAGAATTCAATGTCATCTAATTCAATTCCAATTCTGTGTACCAAATAAAATTCAATAATTCTAGTGTCTCTATGCTGTGAAAAATGAACATCAATGTCATTCCTCATCCATCAAACTTTAAGATGCAATTTTGACCCGTGAATATCAAACTATGGGAACCAAAGGGGTATAGGTGCAACCTTTTTAAAATTGTAAAGATTTTATTAACAAATTTTTTTAAAAAAAGAGGGAGGGTTTGGGTACACGTTTTCAAACCTGTGTAACATTGTTTAGTTACCTTTTTGAAAGTTTGAAAAGAGGTTATCATTATTTACAACTTTAAAGAGAGAGAAATAGGCAAATCAAATACTAATCTAACATTGGAGTTCCCTAATTCTAATTTTAGAAGTTGATGACAAGTGGATTTATTGCTATTTTTCTTTTTTCCTCTATAAAAAAAACAAAGGAATGGAATTGTTGGAATAAGGAAAATGACAATTTAACCCATGGAATCCATTCCTATAAAACCCCAACCAACCAACCCAACGTAAACTTCAGAGAGTAAATCAGACAAGCTGAAACGTAAGCGCAGTAGGTAAACTGGAAAGGGGAATTTAAAAAAAAAAAAAAACACAAACAAAGAGATGGCAACCTCAAAAAGAGATAAAACTGTAAATGTGGGTTTTGTAATTATGTGCCTCATACAGTTGATCATCTCCATCTTCATCATAGTGATAGGCTTTAGGCTAGCCAACTATTGTGTCGACTTTAAATACAATACGCCTATCATTGTAATCGGATTTGCGATGCTGGTCATTGTCCTCTTTGGGTGCATCGGACTTAGCGGCAAGATGTTGGGATTTGCCATTGCATACTTTGTATTCATGTTTCTTGTGTTCATAGCCATGATTGTTGTTATCATTGTTTGGTCAATATACACCAAGAACTCATCCGTAATCGTCGTCCCAGCAGAGGGGGCGGGGGCAGCTTACATTAAGGAACACCCACTCGACCACTTCTCCCGCTTCTATCGCCGCAAGGTTACCAGCGGCGTCTACCAGTGGGATCAGATCGCAAACTGTCTCACTCCCACTACAGGCGGCTGTGCTTCCTTGGACCACACCACTACTTACAATAACTCCTCTCAACAAACTACACACCTCACTCCCTTGCAGGTAATTAAGTATAGGTTAGTTAGTTAAAAATTAGTAGGGGCAAAAGTGACTTTTTAATAGAATATTACTCCGTATATTATATGGTTGCAGTTGGGGTGCTGTATGCCGCCTCACGAATGTGGATCCACTTTTGTGAGCCCAACAAATGGGACAACTTCAACGAACAATGTTAATTGTGCGAGGTGGAACGTCGACCCGAGTAAACTGTGCTATTCTTGTGATTCTTGCAAAGCCGGAGTGCTGCTCACCGTCAATAAGAGATTGAAATCAACAAATCGCAACTTGGGTATTACCTTGGCGCTGGCACTCATTGCTTGGGTGGCTAACATCGTTTTGGCATGCATCATAGGGAGTGAGAAATTTACGGACTAAAATATAATGATTTTCAAGACAATATGTTTTTATTTCCAATGTAAGACCTTTTGGTCATTACTAATTAGTCATTATTTAAGTAAATGTCCATTATTATTGGACATTATTCCTTTCACTAGACATTATTAAGTCCTATTTAGAGAATAAAAATGTTTAAGTCTTGCGTTGAGAAATGAATTATATTTTATTCCTATTTGGTGCAAATTTCATTTATTTAATAAGATTATATATATACTCTGTGTAATTTAGAGGTGCGATCCTATACAAGTAATACAACAGATCTTATACGGAGTACTTTATATTTATATATGGAGTGCAGGTTATTTAGTTAAATTAATATTTTATTATTTTAAGTAGATTTTTTTTTAATTATTTTAATACTTTGTATATCTATATTTACATTTTTTGTTGAGTGAAATTATATATAACACTCCTTCAATGGTTTCTTTTCGATTCTTTACCTTGATGCTTTTATTGAATCGATATGATTAACATTTTATTAAACCTGCATACGGGTTTGTACTATGATTACTTAGATAGTTAGATACTTCATATTCTATCTATAAATACTATCTATCGAATCATCGAATTGAGTTATAAGACACTTTGGTTGAAACACATTAAGACGTACATTGAATCCAATTGATTAATTAGTTCAACTTAAGATCTTATATTATATACCAATTTCTTTTCCCATCAAGTTCTGATGTGAGATACGTTTACACTCCTCGTCAAGTGATAACTAGCACGGTTTAATTATCAATTTGACAAATGAGTCTAGCATCTCAATCTCTCATATCTAGCTCCTTAAACTATATTCTAGTTTAAGGTAATCCTAACCGACTACGGAGTATTAAATAATATTCTAGTTTAACGTACTACAAACAAACAAAGCTCAACAGAAGCCTAAAAACACGAAAAACAACAGCTAAAAGAAGCACTAAACCCTTTAAATTACTCCCTCCGTCCCCCTAAGATGTTCTCATTTTGACTTTTTGTAATTTTTAAAGAGAGTTGAAAAAACGTGAAAGTTTACCATAATACCCTTAATGAAAATGGATGGAGTGTATTAAATGAGGTGTAATAACTAAAGTAAGTTGGAGTAGTTGTGGTATTTTAATTGTTAAAAAATAAAATGAGAGAATCTATTGTGGACAAAGAAAAACGCTATTGGGAAGATCTATGAGGGGGACGGGTTTTCCAACCTTGCAATGCCCAAAGACTCCCATGCCTTTCTTGGTTGGGCCAAGGCAATTTCCGACAAGTCTTTCTTCTTTTTTAGAGGAAGAAGCGGAACTACAAGGGGCCTGTTTGAGAATAGCGTTAGAGATTAGCGTTAGCGTTTTGGATAAAATTTTAACGGTGCACATTATATTGAAAATGTTAATGCTAAACGTTATTCGTAGATAGCTTTTTCAAAACGCTAACGCTAATAGCTAACATGGTTCCCAAACAGACCCAAGAAAGGCTATTGATATACTACCTCTGTCCCGTGAAACATTTCCCCTTTCTTTTTTTATTCGTTCCACAAAACACTTCTCATTTTTATTAAAAAGCCACTTTTACAGCTTCCTTTTTCATACCCTAACTATCACATCATACCTTTTTACTAATAATCTATCCATCAAATCATACTTTTACCCATCACATCAAAGGATATTTTTGGAAATTCAATACCAAAATACACTTCCTTAAATCCCTCCTAAAAAGCAAATGTCCCATGTTTCACGGGACGGAGGGAGTACGTTCTAATATGGAACCAAATATAATTGACACATCATTCTCCGATGTTAATTGCTTCTTTCCGAGTAACTAGGTTATTCTTTTTATAGTTTATGGTCAATAGAATGTAATTGTTTAATGAAAAAGAAAAAAGAAAAACAATTTTTGAGAACAAGATAGTATAATTCATGTTAGGGGTACACCATGAAGTATATTCAAAATTGTAACTCAAAGCGATGCACCAACATTTTAGTAATTCACGCAGACACAAAATGCTAGTTCAATAAAAAAATTGTACTAGCATTTTGTGTCATTGTAAATCATCACACTAGCATTACACTAATACAAAATATTGGTGCATACTTTCGCAGTACAAATTGGGGTATAAATTTTAGAATAGATATAGTTTAATTCAATCTTTTAACATAAAGTTACATATACTCCGTAGTTCTTATTTGCTAATAAGAGTTTCGTGTTTTCGCAATACATTGTCAATCATTACAATAGATTACCAAAAACAATGTAAAATATTCATATTAAGTGCCACATTACCACATTTTAAACTCATAGTTTTAGGATAAAAACATGAAACTTCTATTTTGACACGTTCACTATGTTTTACTCCTATTTAGAGTGATTTTTTACACACATACTCACTCCGTTTTGTAAAAGATTTCTTATTTTTACTTTTGATATCTTTCTTATTTTTTTAAGTTGACTTTCTAATTATACTCTTAGCATCGAAGAGAAAAGATAGACAAATCACTTAATAACTTACTCCGTATTATATATCTCCAAAATGGATGGAGTATATTGTAATGACTTTATTTAGATATTTTAGTCATTTTATTCAAAATTAGTGGTTGTTTTTTTTAAAAAAAGAAAGTATTAGAGAGTATCCTACGTCGAAAACGTGAAAAGAAAATATCGATATATATACTCTTGAGTTGAACTAAGTAAATTGTCCAATCCAGTAACATTTTCCACATCCTAAATTCTATCAGAAAAAACAAAAAAAGAAGTGTTTTAGAAAACAGATGAAGTAATATGAAATGACAAAAAGTTAATAAATTTAATCTCTAACGTTCAAATAATTTAAATAACGTAATTAAATGACATTATTATTTGTAAAAATTATAAAAAATGGCAACAGTATTTAATACTAAGTTTATGCACATTGCACTGGTAGCTAATCACCAATTTTCAAAAATACAATAAGAAACGACATAAAAATAATAAATTTTGCTCAAACATTCTAGTAATTTAAAATCAATTAATAAATTTATTAAAATAAATTTATCAAAATAAACTAATAATTAAAAATAAATTTTTGCTCAATAATTCGATTGTTTGGCTAGCTCAATACCCCCGTCCTTTAGTATTTGTTCACTTTTGACTTTTTCTTGTCAAAATTGAAAAACTTTGACCCCAAATTAAATAAAAATGATATTAGATATTGATACAAAAATAGTTTTATTAGATTTATACTCCCTCAGTCCCCCTCTCTTTGTCCACTTACCTTTTGACACATCATCCAATGCACTTCTTTAATCCATTTTATCTTGTAATTTGTATATTAAAAAATTATAGAAATTATATATTAATAATCTATATGTTAAGACAAATCAAACAAGATCACACATGACTATATTTAGGCTTACACATTGAGAGAGTTTGATGAGTCAAAGTGCTTAGATGAACAGTTCCAAAAGTCAAAAGTGGACAAAGAGAGTGGGATGGAGGTAGTATAATTTATTATATGAAATATTTTAAAAATATTATTTCTACCTAATTAATATACAATAAATGGAATATATTTTATTTAATTATAAGCTAAAGATTAAAAATAATTGAATGAAAAAGTCAAAATTAGACACATGATGTGGGCACCAGATCCCCTATGTGGCCCCTTAAGAAATTCAATCAAACCAACTTCGTTACCTAAAACCCGGCCAAATAGCGCCAGAACCCCCCGTGGTTTGCAAAATAGGCACCAAAACCCTCTCTGTTTTCAAAACTTATTTCTAAAGTCCTTGTGGTTTCAAATTGCTGCACTCGTGCCCCCTCTGATCATTTTCTGGCCATTTTTCCAGTGAAGAAGGGGGGCATTGCTGCATATTTACTAAACCACAGGGGGTATCGGTGGTGATATTTATTACTCGCTTATTTTTTGTTTTTTTTCCATTTTTTCCTTTATTTGTTTCTTTTATTAATAAAGATTTTTTTAAAATTATTTTTATAATGTTCATAAAATTTAAATTTATTTTTGTTTGAAAAAAGTAACATATAATGTATATGGACTTCTCAAATCAACATTTTTGTTTTTTTCTGAAAAACCTAAACTTTTTTTTTTGAGAATTTCAAAAAAATGAGGAACAAAATAAGAAACAAAATAATACAAAAATAAAAATGAATATCTTTTTCGAACATCTCAATTCTAAGGACTTTTTTAGGCTTCTCCATTTTTTTGTACATGCTTTTTTTTGTGTATTTTTATTTTTTATTTTTCCATATTTTTATTTTTTTATTCTAGGTTTTTCTTTTTGAACTTTCCAAATAAGTACGTAACAAAAAGTGAAAATGTTTAATTTCAAATAGATGCAATGTATGTTAATCTTTTTATTTTTTTCAAACACAAAAAAATTTAAAATTTTAAAACATTATAAAAAAATTGAAAATAAATTAGAAAAAAATATAGGAAAAGAAAAAAGAGATAGAAAATATTTTTTAAAAAAAAAATAAAAACAAAAATAATAAACAAAAATTAAAAAAAATGAGCACAAATGCCCCCATATGATTTAAAAAATATGCAAAAATGTCCTCTCTTCGCCGGAAAACGGCGGAAAATGATCAGAGGGGGTATGGGTGCAGCATTTTAAAACCACGGGAACTTTGGAAGTAAGTTTTGTAAATAAAGGAGTATTAGTGCTAATTTTCCAAACCACATGGGGCACCAGAGCTATTTGGCCTCTGAAACCTTAATAAAATTCAAACGATCGAACTAACTAGTATAGCTAGCCATGGCAAAACCAGCAGATGTGGTTAGAAGCATTGCCTGCGCCCTGCAGATGATCATCTCAATCCCCGTCATAGCAACATGTTAGACATAATAGTTAAATACTAATTAGTTATGAGGTCTTTGTGTAATTAGTCTGTATGTTACTCTATATATCCTACTGTGTAAGGCTCCCTGATTTAATTGAGTAATACTCCGTAATATTCTCCCGTTACAACATACTATTGGCTAGGCCCCTCTTGTGCCAGCGATGGCCTCGAACAGGGTTTCTTTGTATTGGGA